TTTTAAAAAACAAAACATATCCAAACATAAATCATATTACATTTATTGATTTTTCTTATAATCTTAGTTTGCTAACTTCAGTTGAATCTTAATCTTAGTTGTAAATTTTTTAATATAAACACACGTAAAATAATATGGTTTGGCATAATTTTTTACTTTAATTCATTAACATTAAATAATACCTTAACCTTATCTTAAAGTTACAATTTAATAATAGAATAACATGAAAACTCATTATGTAATTTTATATATTCATTATAAAATTACAATAATACAAAAAATTAATGTCTTAAAATGTTAAATATTAGATAAATAAAAATAAAAAATTATGATGACAATATAAAATCAAACTTTCAGCGGCGACATTTGAAGTTGTTGTTAAAAGCCTCATTTTCAGTGGCGACACTAAAAAGTCGCCACTGAAAGTTGACTTTCAACGGTGACATACTTTCAACGGCGACTTGTATGTCACCGCTAAAGCTTACAACATAATTTTTTTGAAAAAATTATAAAAATGTTGACAATCAGCGGCGACACCAAAAAGTCGCTGCTGAAAGTCGACTTTTAGCGGCGACTTGTATGTCGCCGCTAAAACTTACAATATAATTTTTTAAAAAAAAATTATAAAAATGTTGACAATCAGCGACGACACCAAAAAGTCACCGCTGAAAGTTGACTTTTAGCGGCGATTTTTTGGTGTCATCGTTGAAACTTACAACATAATTTTTTTAAAAAAATTATAAAAATATTGACAATCAGCGGCGACATACAAGTCGTTGTTAAAACTTACAACATAATTTTTTTGAAAAAATTATAAAAATGTTGACAATTAACGGCGACATCAAAAAGTCCCGCTGAAACTTACAACATAATTTTTTTGAAAAAATTATAAAAATATTGACAATCAGCGGTGACACCAAAAAGTCACCGCTGAAAGTCAAATTTCAACAGCGACAGTAGACGTCGCCGCTGAAAGTGTGACTTTTTGCAGCAACATGCACTTGTCGTCGCTGAAAGTTGAAAATCAGCGGCGATTTTTTAGTGTCGTCACTGAAAGTCATTTTTTTTGTAGTGTTTTTCTTCTTCTTTGGGTGACTTCAATTGTTATTTACATTGCTCTGCTCTTTTGAAGATTGAAAATGTATGCACGTGTGCAGCAGAATACCTTTAACATGAATGTTATAAACTTTTTAGGGTGCAGACATTGACATTAAGGTAGCGCATGATGGGCGTTGACCTGACTGTAATATTTGGAGTAATTTTAAGCATATCAATGTGCTAAATGATATTACAATTATTATTTGGTTTATGTGGAACATTATGTTGATAAGTTGAAATCAGCACCACATACATACATGATATCTGAATATGCTTTAATAAAAGAAACTACATGATATGCATCTCATTAACTTAAATGTGCATCTTGCAGTACGGATTGCCTGTGCCAATAGCTTTAAGGACTGACGGTAACTTTCTGAAATAATTTCTCCATATCATAACTGTGACTAATTTTCTGTCCAATCTATATTGTTCTTATTTTGCTACTGATCTATATCATTTCTCAATTCTATCATAGAGATAACTGATATTTTGTGATTGCTGTGCCTTTTATCTGGAGTAAATTATCAATCTTGATATAACATTTGTAGTGTTTCATTTTTAGTTGAGCTGTAAACTCCATTATAGACATTGGTTCTTGCAAGGACTGGGCCTATATTTTTTAGACTTGGGTCATTGTGATCTGACTTGTAAGCTCAGACTTTTGAGTCAAGTGTTCAAGTTAACATTTGAAAATAAATAAATTTAAAAACCTTTTTCACTCAATAATTTAAAAAATGTCACAAAATTAAAAGATTTGACAAACTACCTAAGAACCTATCCCATTCATTTGTATGATAATTGCATTGGTTGTTTGATGTATATGGCCACATCTTGAGTGCATTAACTTGTTTTTTTCCTCAATAAATAATTGTAGATCCAAAATCTTACCATTGGAAAATAAGGGCCTATTTAGGGTCTGTTTGTTTTCCATTTTTAAAAAATATTTTTTATTTTTAAAAATAAAAAAATTTTAAAATTTGTTTGAATAAGTGATTTTTATTTAGTTACTTTCAAAATTGTTTTCATTTTTTGTTTTTAAAAATAAAAAAATAGAAACAACTTTAAGTTGTTTTTGTTTTATTTTTCTTATTTTAAAAATACATTACATTTGATTATTAAAAATTATAATTACCTTGATCAATTTATATTATTAATTATCACTATTAATTGATTGTAACCATCACTATCAATCATTTTTTTATTCTAAAACTATTTTTCAATTGACATAATCAAACGAGTTTTTATTTTTAGTTTTAAAAATAATTTAAAAACTATATTATAAAATAATTTTTTAAAAAAAAAGGAGAATGGAAAACAAACAAGTCCTTAGTTTCTGTTCTTATTTTTTATTTTAAAAAACTGTTTTGTAATCAAAATTATTTTTCAAAACAAAAAATGAAAATTTATTGGTTTTGTTAATTTAAAAATAGATTTAGAATTAATTAATAGGTTGATAGCAATTATTACAAGTAGTTAATGGTGATGATTTACAATATAAATTAGTTAAGTTAACCATAATTTTTATGAATCAAACATTGTGTATTATGAAAACAAGAAAAATAAAATGAAAGCAACTTAATTTGAGCTTAAATATTGGATAATTTTAATTAATCAATTAATTTGAGTTTTAAATTCATTAATGAAATTATCAAAATGATGATTTCAACTACTTTATCAGTTTTTCAAAATTCAGTGGCGCTAAATATCCATATATTACAACCTGAAAATGCATATTAATTGTCCATTGTGAAAACATGGTAAAACAAAGTATATTATTATTTGCTTCATGCCCAAACGCACTCTGTGGCATGTAATATTCTTCTAAATAGGCCTTTCACATTGCTAATTGCTAATAGTATGTTTAGATTAATGAGGACTTGGAATTAAACCAAATTTTTCGTTTGAATATACAAAAATTTATCAATTTTAATTTAATTTAAATTTAAATTTAAATTCATTTCAAATTATAATTCTTTTGTAATTTTAAATTTTCTTTATACGCTAATCATTTAAAGTTCTAATAATTTCAAACATCTTGTTCTTTGTGTGTTTTAACTATTAATACCTCAATAACTCATTTTTTTTCTCATCTTTTGTTGATTAACAAATAAAAATAAAATTATTATTTTTATTTTGAATTTCAATTCACTTTTTTTCTTCATTTGAAATTTTTAAAATTATCTAAATAAAGAATTTTAAACATATAGATTTCAAATGTGAAATTTGAAATATAAAATTTTAAATGTAAAATCTAAATCCCATCAATTCAAATGCTATCCAAATGTATTTATTTTGGAGGACGTTTAGCAAGTCAACATAAAAAAATAAAAACAGTGGCTATTTATTCCAAGAGCGTCTCATATTAATTGTGGCAAAATTAGATGTCCACCGTTAATGAAAAAACTCCTGCAATACTAATAAATACATTCAGATAGCATTTGGATTTGTGGATTTATATTTAAAATTTCATATTTCAAATCTTAAATTTTAAATTTATGTATTTAAAATTTTTTGTTTGTGTAGTTTAAAAAATTTCAATTCTAATATTAAAAACCTTTATTTGGACTGTGCAAGAAATCTCAAATCACCGTAATCAGATTTCATTTTTATTATTTTGTATTTAAATTATCCACCAAAATTTACTGTTCTTTTTTTTTTCCTCTTAGGAAAAGTCAAAATGCGTTCATTATAAAAGGAATATATACAGAGAAAAAGCACACACCAAAATTTACCTTCAACCATGTTATCCTAATTATTTTTTTAACAAAATTTGATCAATAAAAAAAGATGAAGATTTAATTTAAAATGATGAACTATAGAATTCATTCATTTGTCCTTCAACGATAAAACAAAATATGAAGAACATTATTAAAATTATCAAGCACCAAAACAAAGTAATCTCAACACCCAGTGAAGCAAAATATATTAAGAATATTACCAAAGTTTTCATGCTCCAAAACAGAAATTATTTTTGTTTTTGTTTACACTTGTAATCTGACTTTGAGTCACAAACACATTAAGCCACAAGGCTCACACTAATCCAAGCAAAGGGCATAAAAGACTTGACAATATTCTATTAACATGATATTCATTCTGCATTTGCATATCTAAAGTATATTTGTATGTTAAAGTATCTTTATATCTTGTCCATTCATGTGTTATTCCAATATATACTTCTAATATTCTCCTCATCTTTAGTGTCATTGTCAACTTTTGAATAATTTTCCAAATCTTCATCACTTTTTTTAATAATTGACCTTTAAACATTTCTTCTCTTACAAAGTTATGAAAAATAATACATATATTTCTTTTTAATTTTGACTTGAGTCTCTTTATCAAAAAAGCTAGCACTTTGTAAAATAGTCCAGGATAGAAACTTGCTGACAGTGTCAAAGATCAAATAACTCTTTTATTTATTGGCGTATTTCATCTTCATAAATTAAGATGATACCTTATTCCTTGATATGGAGTTAAAAAACCCAGACCATTTGCAGAGAAATTTTATAAATTATTATTTATATTTCACATTTGACAAGGGTGAAATAAACAGAAAGTTTAACCACCTAAATACAATAAAAGTAGGAGCTCAAATATTTTGGAATATCTTTGTTTTCCTATCAATAATTTTTTTTTCATCTATTTTACTCTTAGAATAATCATACGATAAAGCTTTCGTTATGATTTTCTTATAAAAAAGTTGTTAGTTATAAATAAGTTAAATTTCTAATAATTTTTAGGCAAGTTTTATTTGTAAAACATAAATGAAATTGTGTTTTATGTTTGGCAAAGGCTTATTTTTAGTATTAAAATAAATACAACATTAAACATCAAATCTAGATGTTCCAAAATATTGTTGTCAGACAAAAATAGATATCCCTGAGTATTTAATTAGGCATTCCTGGAAAGAAGACGTTATATATATATATAACATGATATGACCCAACTCACGAAAATCTGGAAATCAAAGAACAAATTACTTACAAATTCCAAATGCAGAATAATATATAGAATTACAAATTTGGGTCGAAATACTGCAAATCCAAAACATAATTTGGATCAAACATGTTGAGGTGCGGCTTCCTGATGGCTTAGATGGGCCATACCTGATATATAATAAAAATAAGAAAATTAATAACGGAGATTGCTATAATACGCACTTAATTAATAATGTTCTAATCCCATGAGTACTCTATTTAGTTGAGAAAAACATCAACTAACAAATTGAAATATCAAAATCGGAATATACACGATCCACTATCAAAATTAAAATCAAGATATTATAAATTTCTCAATGAACTCATCACGTATATACATGCAAAAATATAAGTGAAATAAATATTTGACTAAAAGATACATAATGCAAAAAATATTATGCAATGAAACTTATGCTCTGTAGTCAAGAAATGAAATTAAATTATTTTAGTCTTGGAATGAAAATTTTGGAAGAAACTTAGAGAAAAATAGAAATCGGAGACAACTTTGAGAGTTTAGGCTAGAAATGTATTTACCTGAAATTTAGGAAGGAATAAATCCTTAAGGGCTTGATCTTCCCACTCTAACTCGTCCCACCACTTTTGTTGCCCCGTTATTTTCTTCAAATATTTTGCAGAGTTAGAATCAAAAGGAAGCTTCTTGAGATTCGGGCAATTGCTTATCCAGATTGTTTCAAGCTTAGGAAAAGGCAAAGCCTTTTTGTAGATGCTCCTTAGATTTGGCATCCTCATTAAATCCATTATCTCGAGATTTGCAAATATGCCATCCATATTCTGTCTGTCATTGTTGTCTTCAGTTTCCACAATGACTTCCTCAAGCAGAGCGCAGTGATGCACATAAAGATAACGAAGGTAAGGAGCATACTTGAGCCATGTCAAATGAGTTATTGAATGACATCGGTCAAAAATGGCAGTTCTTAGCTTGCAAAATATGTTAAAAGTGATTAACCAATGACACTTCCAAACTATTTCGCAATTCACGAAAATATATTCTTTCCAAACGTTTCCATTTTGCCATAGATGAAACTGTTGGTGCATGGAATGCAACACCCACATCCCTAACACAATGTTGCAACTCGGATGAACTTAATTTGTTGATGCCAGCAGGAGTAAGTAAGTGGATGCTTAAATCCTCCAAGTGTGGTAGTGACTCTAACTGCTCCAACAGTAATTCCTCTGTTGCATCGTTGACTGCCATCCATTCTTCTGTAGTAAACCTGAATACTCTTAACCTCTCAAGACATGGTATAACCTCCAAAGGGATTATTTTAACACTAGAACCAATGTCTTGCAGGGAAAATACATTCAAGCTCTTCAAGTTTTTCATCTCCATTGGAAACTTTTTTTTAATTTTACAATTTGATAGTTGAAAATATTCTAACTTAATCAAAAATCCTATTTCTTTAGGAATAGTTATCACGTTGCCAATACTAGCAAAACTTAAAACCTTCAATTCACTCAAGAATTGGAGATTTCTCAAATTATTTATGATTGACAAGTTCCTCACAAGTAAGCTCACAAGGTGAGGACAAACAGGAAGATTCCAAGCCTGGGTCTCCTTATGATGGTAGTCCATCATAATTGAGATCTTTTCAACATCAAGGTTATCACTTTTTAATGATTTCAATGCTTCTTGTTGCACTAGGATTTTGTTTTTGTTCCGATCTTGATCTCGGAGTAACCAAAGAGCCATATCTCGAATCACATCATGCAACTTAATGAAGTCTCTACCATTGTCTTCCACAAGACATGCAAGCTTTAAGTTTTCAACCACAGCTTGACCGTGATTAAAGGCATCATCAATAGTATGATTATCTCCAAAGAATCCTTCTCCAATCCATAAAAGAATTGCATCAAGAATATAAATGATTTCATCCTCTGGGTATAAAGCAAGATACAAGAAACATTTTTTCTCCATATCATTGGGAAGGCTATCATAACTGAACTTAATAATGAAAAACACTTCCTCTTCCATACCTTTAATCTCAGCAGGAGAACTCTGAAGCTTGTTTATAGCATGCCTCCACGATTGGGGGTTCGTTCGTCCGGACATAGCTTGTCCAATTGTAATCAGAGGAAGTGGCAACCCTTTGCATTCAAGGATAAGCTTTTGTGCTAGATCACGTATGCTGGGGTCAGAGTTCAAAGTTTCATCTCCCACTTTCATGCAAAACAACTTAAAAGCCTCTTTGTTTGTCAAGCATTTCACTTGAAGCTTTTTGGCTTGCATTTGATCACAAACATTTTCAAACCGTGTCGTTAACAGAACTTTTGAATGATTCATCTCCCTCGGAGGTGGAACCCCTATACTGTAAAGATCTAATCCCTGCCATATATCATCCAACATGAGAAGAAACTTTTTATGTTTCATAACATTGAAAATTGCTCTGATTTTCTCATCTTTACTTTTGTCCTTCCAATCAATGCCTATATTTTGGGAGATATCATCGATAATTTTCTCTATATCACGATCTTTAGACACCACAACCCAAATCACCAGTGCAAAATCATGTCCCCTTATTACAAGTTCATTATTCACTTTCTTGAGGAGCGTTGTCTTCCCAGCCCCACCCATGCCATACAAACCAATAACGCCCACATTTGAGTCTTCAATGCTTTCCCATACCTTGTTTCGCATCTCATCCATACCTACAGTATTAGGTACAGGCATTTCTTCGGCCCGTCCTCGAGGCAGCTCACAAGCAATATTGGCAGTGTTGAATTTTTCTCCTTCAGTCATCAACTGATTTACACAATCAAAAGTCTTGACGACCTCCCTTCCCAATTTATAAGCTGACAAACAATTCTTGTGGCAATAGTTGGCCAAACACTTATCTTGAACTACTGTAGCACCTTGATTCTGAATGTCTTGTACAGTCTACAGATACAAAAATAAGAAGAAAGTTTCAAAGCTTAAACCCATTTAACTTCATTTCACTACTTAAATCATATACAATGAAGTAACTAGGATCTGAAATCATTTAACAACCACATAAAAAGAATGAAAAGTTTGGGGTAAGCTTAGTTAGTACCGTTTGAAAATTGTTCACTCTTTGCAGCCAATTATTTACTGCTTTTGTCCTTTCCATACGAGGATTTCTTTCAGCTTGTTCGACCATTCGCTTCACATCTTCACCTTGATCTTGGAGTTGAGTCCAGTGCTCTGCGAGAGATTGTAAGTTGTCCTCCAAATGACAAATGAAAGCAGCTTGTTTGATTGTGCAGTCACAGAAGCACTTGATGGCATCCCAGATCGGAGCTGCAAGTTCCATGGCTCAGTGATGAGATCGATGGTCGGATGTGAGGAAGATGAGTGTGCCAACGAAAGGAGTCTCAGTCTCTCAAAAATCAGAATGACTGAAGAGGGAAAATAGAGTCCTCTTAGCTGGAAACGTCCTTCACAAGCCAGCCAGCTACCATTCCCACCTTTACTGTCCTCTTGACAGAATCTCTAATAGATATTAGCTTTTCTTTTCCTCAAAAGCCATACCTACCATTCCTCATTTCTTTTCATGTAATTTTTTTGTTTTTGTTTAATAAAAAAAATCTGTTGCATTGATCATCTCAAAAGTTTGAACATGACCGTCCATGTGGCGCGTGGGTTGTGGCCATCAAATGCATTCTAGGCTCACTTTCATGTAATCTCTCCATCTATCTATATATAAAGTGTTTTAATTAAATCATATATATCAATAAAAATATATTATTTAATTAAAATTACATAAAATTATGATGATTTTCAAATTTTATTCTTACAATTAATATTATAATAATAGTAGATAAAGAATAAAGACAATTAATATCTCATTCATTTTTTAAGATAATATTAAAATTATTTGATTACTTAAAAATATCATAAATTTTTTATATTTAAAAATAAATATACTTTTAGATAATATTTTATATCTAAAGATGAAGGGAGGACACGGTTAAAGCAGCAAAAAAAAAATTAAATGCAAAATGATAAAATAAGTAATATAATGATAAGGGATCTCACGAGTGTTATGTCCTCCTCCTCCGTAATTTCCGTCGGATCTACCTTGCCATCCGATGTAAATGTTTTTAATTTTTATAAATTAAAATTGTTTTAAAAAATAAATTTTAATAACATAAATTAAAATTAAAATCATATTTTATGTTTTATATTTTTAAAATTTAAATTGTACTCCCTCATTTAAAAATATAAAGTATTTTTTTAGGATTAAAAGTTAGATGTTGAATGTTAAAAAATGTAAAGTATTTTTAATATTTTGAAGTGTAATTTATGTGCTTTTTTTTTTCAAAGATGCTTATAATAAATAAATTATTTTATATTTATTTTAAAATAAAATATCCTATACAATAAAAGTAAATATAAAAAGATGTTATTAGTGTAAAGATAATAGACTAGTGTACTAGTAGTAAAATTTAGTTAAAAATACCTTATATTTTTAAAATAAAATGCCAGTAATATTTTTTGTATATTATTTAAAAATAAAATAAATTATTATTTATATTTATGTATTTTAATCACTAAAATAATTCTAATATTATACTAGAAATAAAAAATATAATTAATAGAAGTTATTAAAGAAATAAAGAACTGTAATCATTTTTTTGCATTTTTTTTAAAAATTAATAAAAATTCAACTTTTATTTTTCTCTCTTATTTCTTTTACATAATATGGATTAATGTTCTCGTGCGTCATATGGTGTAAAATCTAGTTTGATTGTAATTAAGAAAATTTTAGAAAGGGGATTTCTTAACTAAGCTACTCCCTCCATTTAAAAATATAAAATATTTTTTAAAAAGTTAAATGTCTAAAAATAAAAGTTATTTTTAATCTTTCGAAGTGTAATCATTATCTTTTTTTAAAGTATCATATTAATAATAACTTTATATTTATTGTAAGGTGTTTAATAGAGGTGAATATAAAAATATAAAATTAATTTAAAAATAATTAATTATTTTATCGAAGATGAGATTTAATTAAAATTTTTTTATATTTTTAAATAAAAAGAATATTAAATATTAATATTTGGTAAAAAAACCAAACTATTAATCTTTTTAAAATTCCTGAATTAGTAATAATTACATGTTATGTCTCCCGGTCAAGTGATTGTGCTGTAATATTCTGAAATTTCTTTTTTTGTAAAAAAAATCTGAAATTTCTGACACATATAATTTTGGGGAAAGTGAAAAGGACGAAGCCGCCCTTTACTTTAGCTGTAACGCGTGATTGCTTTTTTTCTTGTCGGTGTGATGGGGTCCATTACAATGGGAAAGTTATCTGCCCAATTTATAAGGAAATTTAAGGTTGGTCGTTAATTAAATAATTAAATAATTAAATATAAAATATTTTTAAAAAAATGATAAATAAATATCATTGAAAGAGATAAATAATAAATAACTATCACAAATGTTGTAATTATTTTAAAGTTTATAAGAACTTATGAAAATATTTATATACTTAATTGTATATATTTAATATATTTATTTTTAATTAAATCAAGACACGTGCATTATTTATATAATAGTTATTCCTTCCGTTTTTATATATAAGATATTTTTAGCTATTTTGTGCAAATCACTAAAAGTTAGTTATTTAATTAAAAGTTTAGCAAATATTTTAATTTTACCCTTAATTATTGTAAAAAAAAAGTAAATCTCTTTTTTGAAATAAATTAATGAGAGTACTTATATTTTTTTTCAATTTAATAAGGGTATAATTGTCCATTCATAAAAAAATTTTACTAACAACTCTTATATTTAGGGATAAAAAATATTTCAAAAGACTTTTTATATATAGGGAGGATGGGAGTAATCTATAATAAATTCTTATTCTTAATATTTTTAACATATTAAAATTCACTGATTTTTATTTGACTAAATGAAAATATATTAATTATATAAAATCAAGTATTTAGTCTTACCATAATTTTTCTCTTTTATGTTTGTGACCCTAATCAAAACAATAAAGGACATATTAATTAATATTTAAATTAAATTTTTTAATAATAGAAGTAAAGTTGTTAATATAAAAAATATAATTTTTAGTTTAATCACATAATACAAGTATGTAAGGAGGATCAGCATGTCAACGAAAGGAGACTAAGAAATCACAATGAGTGAAGAGGAAAAATAAGTCCTCCTAGCTGGCAACGTCCTTCACGAGCTAGCTACCATTACCCTTTCATCTCATCGTGCTCTTAACGAAAATTTTTATAAGTATAACATGGTATAAAAATATAAAATATTTTTAATTAAATTCTATTCTTAATAAAATAATTATTTATTTTTAAATTAATTCTATCTTTTCATATATATATTTAAGAGGGTGTTTTATTTTAAAATAAATATAAAATTATTTATTCAATAAGGACACTTTAAAAAAATAATTACACCTTAAAAGATTAAAAATATCTTATATTTTTAAATATTTAATTTTTTTAAAAAATACCTTATATTTTTAACACTGTTTATTTCTTTAGAAGCTATACCTACTATTCCTTATTTCTTTTCCATTTCTTTTAATTTTTGTTTTTATTTAATATAAAAAATCAGTTTCATGATCATCTCAAAAGTTTAAACATGGCCGTCCATCTCATGTTTGAGCTGTGACCATCAATTACATTTTAGGCTCACTTCCATGGACAATATTAAAGACGTAGAGAGAGAGAGAGACAATAATTTCGTCATTTAAATTAAAACGTGTTTAGTCTGGATACAAAATGATAAAATAAGTACTACTGATATAAGAGATCTTAGAAGAGTTATATTTGATTATAATTACGAGAATTCTAGAAAGGGTATTTCTTAAGCAAGCAATTAATCTGTTTAAATTACTAAATTAATATTTACGTGATATTTAATTACAAGCAATGACTGATAGGAATTTGGATCTTGTTTTTCAGCCAAACTTCTTGAGAGCACACCTCTTGACGCTTTGATCCAAAATATAAATAGTTTTTTAAAAAATTTATATGCCAATAAAGTTTTTATTTTTATAAAAATATATATTATTTTATTTTTTCTCCCTAGATCCAAATATATATTGTTTTCCTTATTCTCATCATGGAGTACATTAGTATTGAAACTAGGGACAATATGTTGTTTTCTCTTTTTATCCCTAATTTCAATTACCAATATATATATTATATGATGAGTAAGAGATAAGAAATTTTTTTTACATGTGTTAGGTTAGTTATATTTTGAACTAAAGTTTAGGGGGGGAAAAAACTAAAGTTAAATGAGGGAAAATGTTTATAGTTTGAACCAAAGAAAGTATATTGAATCCATGCTTGAATCTTGGTTCTTTTAGCCCAAATTTTGCACAACTCATTTGTAGAAGACCTAGTCAACCTAATGCTCATGATACCATGCTACGACTTGAATAATAAGAAGATTAAAACATTCATGGATGATTATGAAAAATACAAGAAGATAATCTTTGGCCAAAAGGATTTATAACAAACCCCAAAATCACTTTGACACGAAACACATGCCCTTTTTCCAAAATGCTATAAATATAAAGTGCAACATCAGTTTCATTAATTTTATCAACTTATTTTTGTAATTTCAAAATTTTATTTTAAAAATTGATTTAATTTTTTTGATAGACTTTTAAAAACTGATTTATCTTACAATTTTTTCTCATTCCTCCTCATTATCTCTCCTTACTCTCCCATCATTATAACTCAATGTAATCTTATTCCTATTTTTAAACATTTAATTTTAAAAACTGAGAGATCATGATAAAATAGAAATAAGAATAATATTTATTTTCATGAATAATATATTAATATTTTAAATTAAGAGAGTGTGTGTAAATATGATCACAAGCTGCCTTCTAAAACTCAATAGGTATGAATTTTTTAAAAATATTGTAATTATATAAGATATCCATGCCAGCATTAATTTTTAAAAATAATTTTTTACCGATAATAACAATACTATCAGAAATGAGAATGACTGACTAGGGAAAAAGTGCTCTTTGTTGGCAACATTCCTTTACAAGCTAGCATGTTGCTGCTATTCCTTATTTGTTTTTTTATTTCTTTTCCATTTTATGTTTGTTTTGGTTCAATATAAAACTTTCGTTGCATGATCATATCAGAAGTTTGCACATGGCCGGCTATCTTTCATGTGAGTTGTGACCATCCATTGTCTTTTAGGCCCACTTTCATGTACAATATTAAAGAAGTAAAAAAAATTGAGGAAAAAAGCAGTAATATAAAGCTACCTTCTTGTAACACGTTATAGCTTCTTTTTTTTGTTTTTTTGGCTGGGGTCCGTTACAATAAGAATGCTATCTAACCAATTTATAAACAATTTTTTTTTTTTGGGCCAATGACAAAATTAATGTTGAAAACCGTGCATTATAGCCTTCCCATTAACAAACCATTGATTGGCAAGAAAAAATTGACAAAAAATAACAAAA